CCACTCCTTCCACAGTATTACAGGCGGTCTTCTCATTTACAAATTTCCTCTTAGATTGTTTTTTTTTTTATAATTGCCCCCATCAAATGAGAATTTTTAGGAAGCATTTGCATGCTTTTAGATGAGTCACCTCTCCGTCAGCATGCCCCTAATTACGCCTCACAATCTTGATAAATATAATAGAGAATTTAATATTTGTGTAATACGACTGTGCTGTATAGTGCTTGTGTGTTCTGGTGTTGGGGTAAGGAGAACCATCAATGAATCCCATCAATATTACCAAATCCCACATCTTCATTTGATTGCCCAAACCAACACCAGTGCCTAAATTTAATCCTCAGCAGCTAGAATATGGTCATAGTTCATCTACAAATATTTTATAATGCCCTATCATTAAAAGTCGCAAGAACTCTGTACTGTCCAGTGTGACGAGTTAAGAACCTTACATTTACTATAAACCATGTAACATTCCTCAAGTAACAGCATTTCTCAGAGTCATGTGATATCCTTCATGTCCCACTCTCAGAATCATGGGACATCCTTCATGTCCTACTCTCCTGGCCATTTGACATCCTTCATGTCCCCCTCTCAGAATCATGTGACATCCTTCATGTCCCACTCTCATGGCCATGTGACATCCTTCATGTCCCACTCTCCTGGCCATGTGACATCCTTCATGTCCCACTCTCATGGCCATGTGGCATCCTTCATGTCCCACTCTCAAAGTCATGTGACATCATTCATGTCCTACTTTCATGGCCATGTGACATCTTCATGTCCCACTCTCATGGCCATGTGACATCCTTCATGTCCTACTCTCATGACCATGTGACATCATGTCCCGCTCTCATGGCCATGTGGCATCCTTCATGTCCCACTCTCAAAGTCATGTGACATCATTCATGTCCTACTTTCATGGCCATGTGACATCTTCATGTCCCACTCTCATAGCCATATGACATCATTCATGTCCTACTCTCAAAGTCATGTGACATCCTTATTGTCCTCATTTCAGAATCATGTGACATTCTTCATGTCCCACTCTCAAGGCCATGTAACATCCTTCATGTCCCACTCTCAGGGCCATGTGATATCCTTCATGTCCTACTTTCAGGGCCCATGTCCCACTATCATGGCCATGCAACATCCTTCATGTTGCATGTGACATCCTTCGTGTCCCACTCTCAGGGCCATAGGACATCCTTCATGTGCCACTTTCAGGGCCATGTGACATCCTTCATGCCCCACTCTCAGGGCAATGTGATGTCCTTCATGTCCTACTTTCAGGGCCAATGTCCCACTCTCATGGCCATGCAACATCCTTCATGTGCCACTTTCAGGGCCATGTGACATCCTTCATGTCCCACTCTCAGGGCTATGTGATGTCCTTCATGTCCTACTTTCAGGGCCCATGTCCCACTCTCATGGCCATGCACAACCTTCATGTGCCACTTTCAGGGCCATGTGACATCCTTCATGTCCCACTCTCAGGGCCATGTGATGTCCTTCATGTCCTACTTTCAGGGCACATGTCCCACTCTCATGGCCATGCAACATCCTTCATGTGCCACTTTCAGGGCCATGTGACATCCTTCATGTCCCACTCTCAGGGTCATGTGATGTCCTTCATGTTCTACTTTCAGGGCCCATGTCCCACTCTCATGGCCATGCAACATCCTTCATGTTCCACTCTCAGAATCATGTGACATCCTTCATGTCCCCGACACTCTCACCTGTCAGTTTAAAGTCGCAGGTCTGTACAATGACACTGGTTAGTAGTATTAAAGTGGTAATAAAGATAAGAAATTTGATTTAACTGAGAATTTTGAATTAAGATATCTGCGTTACCTTTAATAACACGCCACACAGAAAGCATTAACTTTGAAATGTATCTTGTGACTTGACCTTCTAAGCGATCTTTCATAACATTTTAATCAAGGATGGATCCAACACACATGATCAACACATTTCAAATGTTGTTTACAAATTTACATCAACACGTTTTACTTTCCAGTATGTACTTTGTTACCTATCATATCTACATACTTTTTCTCGCCTTTTGTTATGTATTCATGCTTTTACTCGGTGTATTATATAACATTCCAATCTCCGAGGAAAGTGATAATCGGAAGTATAATATCAAATGGAACAGCGTGTGAAGATCACCCAGACTCAGGTGTGAGCTATAAATGTTATCGTATTATCTTAAAGCTAGTAACTTTCACAATTTACCCCCTGTTTTAAAATGTTATGAAATTTGAGAAAGAAATGACATATGTATAATTTATGTATTATAAACTACCCTGGGCGCTCAGGTATGTACATCATTAATAGCTTTTTTAAATTAAACATTGAAAAGTTTCCATTTCAATTACATTACAAGTTGTTAAAGGAGAAATGATTCAAATTTGTAATGGTAACATCCGCTCTTGTAGGGGTACACCCTGATCTAGAAAAGTACAAGTAAACTTTTAAAAGTCATTTAACACGATATAAATATTTGTCGGCATAAAACACTCCCAAATTATGATTAACTATCATCACCACTGTAATGAGATTTGCCATCTGATAGGAATATAGAAACTCTATGAAGCTGATACACACCAATGCATATGTTAATTTGCTGGATTCTTTTGAAGTTTTCTCTTCTTTATCAGTGATAGATGGATGAAAATGTGTGTTGAAGATTCTGACAGCAGTGAAGTGAGAAAGTTTGATGATAAGATTCCCTTCCTGAGCAAATCAATGTGCTGGTAGAGCATGGGAAGGTCAGAAGCCCTCGTTAACATACACTCGGCTAAATGTATAAACATCTTGTAGGTTTGAATTCTGCCAAATGTGAGGAAAGAGTGCCATAGGGTTGGAGTCTTCACAAAAATCATCAATGATTATGATAACAAAAGCCAGGAATTAATGTTATTTACAACCCACCAGAGCCCTGGCTACACAGGGCTGCAATACTCATGATCTTAGTAAAATTCTTATCTCCCCATCAGGAATGTAGCTATTAATTAGACAGAGTCCCCACTGCAGGGGTGGTCTGGCTCTAATCTACAACAGTTAATACTCTACCCAGGGGCAAACAATTGACCTTTATGTAGAGGTCATGACCTTTACTCTCATTACATCGAAATCAAAAGGATTGTTTAGTTTGAAAAAACATTTTCTAGTCAATGTACTGATTAAAAATACAGATTTTCTAAAACACTTCCCCTTTCCCATCCAAAGTAAAGCAGACATATTGTTCACCATTAACTTTTACTGATACTGTAAGTACATCAAGTACAGATAAGCCTGTATTCAGAGACCAACTATGGGGAGTCCACTAAGTAGTTCCTTAATACAGGTTAAATTAACATAAAAATTACAACTACAATGAAGAGAGTAACAAGAGGTCCAGAGGGCCTGTGTTGCTCACCTTGGTATCTAGGTAAATGTGGCAAAACGTTCTAATAATTAAATATAACCCTGCAAATATTTCCTAATTTGGGCTCTGTATCTCAGCATTTAGGGTGGCAACAGTCCCTTCCTTGTACAAAATTTGATTCCCTGGTCCCAAATAGTAAATATGGTTGAAATATGATCAATTGTTCAGGAGGAGTATGTAGGCTCACACATGCCTAAATACTTAAATCATGCTGTTTTGTGCATAGGGAATTGACATTCTTTCTTTACACAACAATCAATAGCCAGGTCAAAGCAGATGCTTCAAAGGAAATATGGTTTACATCTTTATATATATGTATGTTGTTATGACACATGGACTTATTTTCAAGGGTGTGGCCAGACTCCTTGACTAATCCTGGTACCATGACTATGTATATCTCTTCAGCATGACCATATATAGTTATATCTAGTTATAAGGTGAGGACCTCATGTTACGTCCCTGGTACAAAGTCACCAAGGGCAGGGCCAGACTACTGAGCTTATTCTGGTAGCATGATTGTGTTTACATGCCCAGCAATTGAATACATGGCAAAGGGTGGGAATCTCATCTGTTTTCATGTTATGATACAGGGATTAAGTCTCCAGGCACAAGAAAGGACCCTGGAGTTAATAATTGTAGCATGATTGCAGTTGTTTCTTCATAATTAGAAATTGCATTAATGGTTAATTAAAGTTTGAGATCTCAACTCTTAATAAAGGTTGTCTCGTAATAGAGGCAATCCTTAAATAGAAGTGGTCACATATAATGGAGATGATCACTTTATAAAGATGGTCACTGAGAAGAGGTGTTCACCTAACAGAGGTGGTATCTCAGATTTGAGAGCACAGATAACATAAAGGTTACATGCACTGTTTAGCGGTGAATGTATTGATAAACAACCTAATTTGAAAGTGTAAAACAGTGAAAACAAGTACTCACAAATATTTACTGTTATTCAATAGTAATTAACACCAGGTGAATATGTAAGAATTCCTGTATATTACACAAGACAGGGCTAGGAATGTATAACCTGTCTGAAATATCAACCTACCTGTTTTTTTCATTCAACCTGAAGGCAATCTAAACATTTTATAAGTTTAAAAAATCTTCTGTATGATCTGGTTAAGATGATATAATTTGTTACAAACAGTAAATGTGTTATAGAACACTACATTCATTCACAATGACAGGGACCAGGTCACTACGGTAAGTGACTTTTGATACCCTTTACCAATAGCTCAATGTTCAAGTTTTTTATTTGCTCTTTAATTGATTCAGTATGATGAGCAATTTAAGCCAACAACTTTTCTGGTATACATAAAATTTCCTGTGTAACATTTGGGAAGAATATAGATTTACTGTGGATGGAAAATCAATTAAATGGGCAGCTGTTTCCTGTGATACAGTTGTCATTTCCTGAAATGTTTTTCTTGTTTTGCTATGATATATTTAAGTATTTATACCAGTAAGTTCATAATTAACACAAAAATCAAACAGGAAATATTTTGACTTTTAGAATGAATGTCAAAACCCAGAATCATTTAAGAACAATCAAACATATTATGACATTTACCGTAGTAAATTCTTTCAGGATGATAAATCGTACTTGGGGATGGTCCTAGGCTGGTCTTCCTCAGAACCACTGCTACAATACCTGTTAAAGAAAAAGAAACTTTATAAATTTTGTTAAAAAGTTACATTACAAAATTTAAATTAAACTTAAATCAACTTTAAATTTCAAGAATTCAAGAAGAAACCAATTATTTCTTGGTGATCTTTTAATACTTGGAAAATAATTAAACATTTTTGACACCAAGGACAGAGGCTGTCCTTATCTACAGCAGATCAGCGTGAGGATAAGTCTACATTCTTCTGTACAACTTAGCCAGCTCCCAGTTACCTGGTGTTTGATCAAAATTAATTAGCATTTAAATGAAACAGCACCTATCCTGCCGGCTTTGTATTACGGAAGTATAAACACACAGGATTATATCTCCAGCTTTATTTCGTTTTTATTTTCATGTTCTAACTGAAATCACATCCCCCTGATCTCCTATCTTATTATATCAAACTTTCTTAACAAAGCCCAGTCTTTATGAAAATTTCAGTTTAAATCCCCACAAAACTATAAATAGAAGTTAAGCCAACACAGCGTTCATTCATTCTATTGCCAATTTTAAAAACATTTATTTATTCCGTGTGGAAAAATTCTCATCGTAACAAAATTATCATTGAAAGAAAATGTCTGCCGTCAACTGTATGGAAATTTCTTTTATGACACTGACAGCAGATATCATTATATTCTGGATAAAGTTGTACCTATCTAATTCAGTGGAAGTCGTAAACATATTGCTTCTGAAGTCACTAAACTAATTTATAAATCATACAAGTATATAAATAAATTAAACTGCCCAGTAAAAAAAAAAGAAGAAAAATTGATATTTTTTATTTAGCACTTTTCTCATTAAAATAAATCTTTATCTTAAAGCTCACTGTACCCGTAAGTTAAACTTTTTTTTTAAAGATGATAAAATAACATTATGATAAATTAATAGGAATCTGAGGTATTTCATGATATAAAAACAATTAAGACAGGCTTGCTATTTCGTATGTTACAAGACCTGTTTGTTTCTACAGAACACACTCGTTATTGGAACTCTGTGGGTTGGGATTTGTTTGTTAATTTATTAATATATTCTAGACTTTTAAGTTTACACAGAAATATAAATGTAGCTTTGGTGATAAAAACTATAATCCTGATAATATCCTGATAACACAGAATGTTTAGAGTGCTATATCTATGTAAGAATTTTGTAGCTGACAAATCAACAATCTTCGAAATCAAACCATTATGACAAGATAAGACAAAAGATACTATTTCATTTTTGAAATTCTCTGTTGTATAAACCAGGAAGTGATTGAATCAACATAAGATGTCAAAAATATTAAGGCATTCATTTGTTTTCTACAGTTGACAATTATTGCACAAATCTGAATGCATGCAGTGATATTGACTACCAAGTATGAGTTACTTCCCCTTGACTAGACTCCTGATAGAGCACTTCCTCAATAAGTACACTTCATGTGTATTACAATCCTCAGGTGGTTTCAAGCAAATAAAACTTCACTTCATCACAATACTTTTACATTGATATTTTTACCAAGTGGAATTTAAAAGAAAAACAATCATTTTCCTGAACTAAAACCCTGTTATTTGAGATTCTTCATGTATAGACAAATTAATGTAAGATGCATTACATTCAGCAGACACTATATAACTGTGTGGTTCTATATTACCAATTGGTGTGGACTGATGCTGGAATACACCGTCTTCACTGGTTATTAGCTCATAGGAAACAAGGGAATCATAAAAAATTCATCTCTGAGAAAAATATACACAAAAGATAATAAGTATACATTGTACATATTGATTTTGCTGGTGTTCATAATTATTGTGTTATCGTCCTACTGTTAATGAAATTAATTTGCCCTGGTCAATATCAACTGGATACGGGATGAGAACCAGTGACCTAGAGTGACCTCTATATCCACTGGGGCTCGGGAATAACCAAGTCAGGCGCTAGTCACTCATCCTTTTATACAATATTTAGTTGTCTGTTGATTCAATCTTATTTTCTCCTTGATACCAGTTACATTAAAATTCATATATTATTTTGTAGTGTGATATGAAAAAAATAACCTGCTTTTCTTTGTTTCCTTTTCCCGCAAGTTTTAGTCCCGCTACTAATTCTGGATTAGATCTTATGTTGCATCATGTTTTATTCATATACTTTATGTGGTCTTTTAAAAACTTTCTAGAAGATTTTTTCCCACAGTTCCTTTTGATTGAAAAGAACAAAAATTATAAAAAGTTTAGAGATAAAACGCATTTCCCACATAATGTTTTTATGCAACTTATGTGCAAGCGGGCTGCTTCCATTAAGCTGATTGCACTGATCTGATTAATCATACCAAATTTAGCCCCCTAAAACCTGTTTCCTATAACCTAATTTGACAAGGGCGGTCATTAGCAGGACACATGACGGATAATTGTATGGACGGCTATAGAAAGTCCACGCACCTTCATTATCACTGCCAGAATATTAAATTCATTTATAAGTGAACAGTAACACCATTCCAATCAGCATCGTGTCATGGAATCTGTATTGTATCGTTGACCCTACAGCGCCAGTCCACAGCCTATTGTCAAGTCCACCAAATACCCTCCCTATGCCCCATACCTTCTTCAGTAGCCATTTTTATATTTTCCATTAATCCCAGGACTGCTAGTCAAATCACACAATCATTATGGACCCTCACAATACTGCGAGTAAAAGTGTCAGAAATAAGGGATTAACGGTAAAACTAACAGATTTCTTTTATTGTATTTGTAGAATGACTGATTTTTATCTGGTTTTTAAGTTAGGATTTACATAATAATGGCCCTGTAAATGTAATAGCGACCACAGTTTTACTGTAGGTATAGTCACGAGCCATCAAAACCGTTTGTAGCCCGGGATCAATAGTTTTTCGAGGGGTTATTCTAAAAGCTCCCCTGTTTGTCTGATCCGAGCCAAGATAATAAATATTTACAGCACTGAAAATTAATTTCATGATGAGTGAAAAGATATGATTTTGTGTAAGACGGCAGCACTATTTCTGACAAGTTTATTGTGACCGGCCTGTGGCCTAGGTCACGGAACTCCGTCTGAAATCGGCCCTCAGTAGAAATTCAAATTTCATTTCTACACTGATACTTATGTTAATAAGTGACAATAAAGTGACAATAATTCCCGGCTTTGTCAGACAGGCTATATAAGGGTTGCCATGACAACAAAATTGCTATTGTTATTATAAAATGTATATCATCTTTCGCCTTGTGGTAGCGGGTGACCCAAAACCTTTACATCTGATTTTGGTCAAAATGATCTAGGACTGAAAAGTGCTTATGTTATAATCAGATTTGTATTGGTCTGAAATGTCATTATAAGAAACCGTAATTTATTTACAATGATAGAAAAATAAATCTTTTACTGCCTGAACCTAAATTCAACTTTTCTGATATTCAAGAAAGTCATGTATTAAATAATGCTTAAAAATATTTCAGTATATTTGCATTAACTTAGAGTGTAATAAATACATTTAAACACCAGTGCATTAATTTATGCAGTAAGGCGATTGAACAGACAAAGCGCAGAATTAAGGGACAAGTTCGATAAATACTTTGATTCTATATGCACACACACATAAAGACATTAGACATACGCCAGTGCATATTCTAAAGCATCTAAAATTAATTTTCAGGGACAAATATGTTCACATAAAAAGAATGTAATTGCTTGCAGTTCTTTCACTAGAATTTAAATGAAGTTTTAAAACTTAATAACATTCAGGCTATCCTTTTGATTTTTTCACATGATTTTGATTAATATCTTTTATAGCCAATATTTCTATATTTTATTAAAATTCCAAAAATGAAATTAATCAGTCTGAATTATGTACCTATCTCATTTACATCCCACTGGTATACAGTAGATAATGTTATATTTTGAAGGTTCTGGACAAGTTTTATATGAAATAGTAAATATTGATCATAGGCTTCGTGCATTTTGATTTTAATACTTGACCTGTTTACTGGCACACTTTATAGTTTTGGTGAACTAGCTAAGTTGTATTTGATGACCTGTTCACTGTACAGTTGTTTGAAACTAATAAATCAATTTTGATGACTTTGACAGTTGTCTGTCTTAAGCTAATAATCTAGTTTTTGATGACCTTCAAAACTACCACAATGAGCCTATCAAATATTTATGATGACATTGACAGTTGTCCTAACTAACACACACAGTCAATGCTTCTGTACCTGATGACATTGACAGTTGTCCTAACTAACAGTCACAGTCAATGTTTCTGTACCTTGTGACATTGACAGTTGTCCTAACTTACACTCACAGTCAATGTTTCTGTACCTGATGACCTTGCCAGTTGTCCTAACTAACACTCACAGTCAATGTTTCTGTACCTGGTGACATTGGCAGTTGTCCTAACTAACACACACAGTCAATGTTTCTGTACCTGGTGACCTTGACAGTTGTCCTAACTAACACTTACTGTCAATGTTTCTGTACCTGGTGACACTGACAGTTATCATAACTAACACACACAGTCAATATTTCTGTACCTGGTGACATTGACAGTTGTTATAACTAACACTTACAGTCAATGTTTCTGTACCTGGTGACATTGACAGCTATCCTAACTAACATTCACAGCCGATGTTTCTGTACCTGGTGACATTGACAGTTGTTCTAACTTACACTCACAGCTTTCTGTGCCTGGTGACTTTGACAGTTGTCCTAAGTAACATTCACAGCCAATGTTTCTGGTCCTGGTTACATTTAAAGCTGCCCTAACTAACATTGATAGCCAATGTTTCTGTATCTGGTGACTTTGACAGTTGGCCTAACTAACACTTACATGCAATGTTTCTGTACCTGATGACGTAGACAGTTGTCCTAACTAACACTTACAGTCAATGTTTCTATACCTGGTGACATTGACAGTTGTTATTACTAACACTTACAGTCAATGTTTCTGTACCTGGTAACATTAACAGTTGTCCTAACTTACACTCACAGCCAATGTTTCTGTACCTGGTGACATTGACAGCTGTCCTAACTAACATTGACAGCCAATGTTTCTGTACCTGGTGACTTTGACAGTTGTCCTAAGTAACAGTCACAGCCAATGTTTCTGTACCTGATGACATTGACAGTTGTCCTAACTAACACACACAGTCAATGTTTCTGTACCTGGTGACCTTGACAGTTGTCCTAACTAACACTCACAGTCAATGTTTCTGTACCTGATGACCTTGACAGTTGTCCTAACTAACACTCACAGCCAAAGTTTCTGTACCTGGTGACATTGACAGTTGTCCTAACTTACACTTACAGCCAATGTTTCTGTACCTGGTGACATTGACAGCTGTCCTAACTAACATTCACAGCCAATGTTTCTGTACCTGGTGACTTTGACAGTTGTCCTAAGTAACATTCACAGCCAATGTTTCTGTACCTGATGACATTGACAGTTGTCCTAACTAACACACACAGTCAATGTTTCTGTACCTGACGACCTTGACAGTTGTCCTAACTAACACTCACAGTCAATGTTTCTGTACTTGATGACCTTGACAGTTGTCCTAACTAACACTTACAGTCAATGTTTCTGTACCTGGTGACACTGACAGTTGTCATAACTAACACACACAGTCAATATTTCTGTACCTGGTGACATTGATAGTTGTCCTAACCAACACTCACAGTCAATGTTTCTATACCTGGTGACATTGACAGTTGTCCTAACTAACACTCACAGTCAATGTTTCTGTACCTGGTGACATTGACAGTTGTCCTAACTTACACTCACAGTCAATGTTTCTGTACCTGGTGACACTGACAGTTGTCCTAAGTAACACTCACAGCCAATGTTTCTGTACCTGGTGACATTGACAGTTGTCCTAACTTACACTCACAGCCAATGTTTTTGTACCTGGTGACTTTGACAGTTGTCCTAAGTAACATTCACAGCCAATGTTTCTGTACCTGATGACATTGACAGTTGTCCTAACTAACACTCACAGCCAATTTGTCTGTACCTGGTGACATTGACAGTTGTCCTAACTTACACTCACAGTCAATGTTTCTGTACATGGTGACCTTGACAGTTGTCCTAACTAACACTCACAGCCATAGCTATCACAATAATGTTTAACTGATGACTATGAATTTTCAGCTTTTATTCAAGAAATTGCTATGGGGTATTTTCATAGTATTCCTGACATAAGTAGATAATTTACATACAGAATCAGTATGATGTTCTGTTTGTAACAAAATGGTTTGCATAATTTTAATAAAGAAAACAATTCATACACCTTTATTGAGAAAAATGTTATATATATGCCGTTTTAAAATTTCATATTACTTTATTTAGAAAAACTTTATATTATAATATCTTAATAAAGGGTTTATATACCTTCTTGATATATACCTGTTAAAAAACTGTGCTTTAAATTGAGTGAAGCTGAAAAGCATTTTTTCGTCAACCCAATTCTGTCAAATTTTACATTTTTCAATGTCATCAGTACCTTTAAATATATTCAGTGTACTTATGAACACATTTCTTGTCTGTCTGGAAGTATGTGCCATTCCAATAATTTCCTTGATGCACAATTGCAGTAAGAAAATACTTTAGAGTATGAAATACAAATCAATGAATTATAGCCAGCCATAAAACTTCCATGTGAACTCTATAGGCCCATAAACTCCACTCATAAAACTTTATTCTGTAATAGTAAACTTGTGTGATTTGTTCTCGTAAGATAATGTATTCGTATGAGTGTTTTTTTAGTTATCTCATCACCTTGAAAAAAATATGTTATATTTTATGGTGGATGCATTAACATAAAGAAATGAATCCATATCAGTTCCAAAGAAAGTAATGAAGAAATGCTGGTCGACAGCTGTTAATTAGAAATAGTCCTGTCTGATGTCATCTTACCATCTAATGTCCCTCTTCCAACGCTTTTCCTCACACCTGATAGCTTATTGCTTATTCATCCCAAAACTGGTTTTTCAACCCCCTCAGTACCAACAATTATTTCTTGTATTACTGTTTCCCACCTCACCAACCTTCCTCCTTCCCAACACCATTTTCTACCCCATACTGTTTCCCCCCTCACCAACATTTCTCCTTCCCAGCACCATTTTCTACCCAATACTGTTTCCTCCTTCCATTAAGTTTCCATGCTGTCACTGTTTTCCAAACTAAGACTTCTCGACTATAGATGTATAACCAACCTCATATTTGACCATCCCCACCCCTTCATTCCACACAGGTTCTAACCTATACTGTTTCCCCATAGTTGGAATATATCAAGCAACCTTGTTGAGGAGTTTGGTTTATAGGGTTTAATGTCCTATTAACAGCTAAGGTCATTTAAGGATGTGCCTCCATTTGTGTTATGTATTTGTTCATGTGTGTATGTATGCTGAACGAGGGTATGTTGGTGTATTTGCCTCCTTTTGATAGTGCCGATTTGATGCAGACTTTGAGTACTACCTCACTGAAATACTATGCTGAAGTCACCTAGCACAGTAGTCCACCAAGTTACATTATATTGACATTAGGTAAACCAGTTATGGCCAAAGAGTTCAAGCATTGTTCTGGCGGAAGTCCAACCCACACCTTATAGCCAATGAGTTCAAACAGTGTTCTGTCGGGAGTCCAAACCACACCTTACAGCCCAATGAGTTCAGACAGTGTTCTGTTGGGAGTCCAACCTGCATCTTACAACCCAATGAGTTCAAACAGTGTTCTGTTGGGAGTCCAACCCGCACCTTACAGCCCAATGAGTTCAAACAGTGTTCTGTTGGGAGTCCAACCCACACCTTACAGCCCAATGAGTTCAGACAGTGTTCTGATGGGAGTCCAACCCGCACCTTACAACCCAATGAGTTCAAACAGTGTTCTGTTGGGAGTCCAACCTGCACCTTACAACCCAATGAGTTCAGACAGTGTTCTGATGGGAGTTCAACCCGCACCTTACAACCCAATGAGTTCAAACAGTGTTCTGTTGGGAGTCCAACCTGCACCTTACAACCCAATGAGTTCAGACAGTCTTCTGATGGGAGTTCAACCCGCACCTTACAACCCAATGAGTACAAACAGTGTTCTGTCGGGAGTGCAACCCACACCTTACAACCCAATGAGTTCAAACAGTGTTCTGTCGGGAGTTCAACCCGCACCTTACAACCCAATGAGTTCAAACAGTGTCAAACTATCTAGACCTCGTGGCTGACTATGCTGATGGTTGCTACATAATGCCAATGATGTTAAACTGCAGTTGTTTTATATTGTTTTTGGTAACCAGTGACAATTTTGTGAAACTGTCGTTGGTACATAATGGCAACCTAGTGGAGCCAATTTGGGTACACTCAAACTCTCCCCCTGTCATTGGTCTACATACGGTACACTTGTTGAAAGGTAGAGTAGATAATGGTTATCGGTTAATACAAAGTAACCATTGTTGAACTATAGATGGAATATAATAAACTTGTGGTACTCTACTTGGTACATAAATTCTTTATTTAAATTCAGTTTGTGCAGTGACCTTGTGAACTTGATGCGACCGGTACAGTACCAATCTTTCTAATTCCGAGACGAAATACATTGAAATATACATGTTATTAAATATATATAGCATTCAACAAGAAATCATGGAACCTTGGCGATAGGTAGGTTACATCAGAGTCTACAACAAAAATGGTTAAAGCTTCTGACCTTTTCCAATCCTAGTTTTTACAAGCTTAATTTGGTTAGATAGGAGTATTCACTCACTCCATCCTATTTAATATGGACATCAAAAAATATTTGCTGTGTAAAAATTAAATGTGGAGTTACATGATCCCCTTAGTTTGAGCCTCCTCCCCTGACATTTTGATATATGTTAGATATAATTAAAAGTAATAGTTTTCTATGTACATTCTAAAATTGTACTAAAAATTTCATGAATGTGGCAGCACATATTTAAAGTGACTTACAGTGATCTCAAGAGACTTAAAATAAAGCTTTATGTCAAAATTTTCAATTCTGTACAAAATTAATTTTCACAGTGTATGATATTACTTGCCATAATACTTTAAGTAACGCATGTTAGGGGCATACAGATGTTTCAGAGTCTGACACCTGTGTCAAGCTAATGGCTGAAACACCTCCCATAAAACATCAGCACTTGGCGAGATTTTATGCTCTATAGTGAAATCAAACATGCCAATCTTTGGCTAATATCTAACACCGTTTTTTCCCCTATTTCATTATTTCTTAACTAAATATAAATAGAGAGTAATCTTGCTATATCATGGGTTTGGCAATAATTTTTGATAGGGAGTTCTTCCCAAATCTCACGTCCAAAAGATGTGGTATTTTCCATTGAACAGGAGACTACTTCAAATGCATGAATATTTTATGTTTACTAAAACAAATGCTTTTAATACTTGCATAAATATTCTGAATATCTCAATCAAAATTTATATACCGGTAAGTGTATTTTTTTTTAAATGAAAATTTTATGACAACCATATTTTTTGAATAATAAACAGAACATAAATATTTAAAATTTTATCATTAAAAGATTATGGATATAAATGAATATTAAATTGGACATAAGTTTATCACCAACACCACCAATATTAGTACATGTATCAAAAATCGTCTGGATACACATATTTCTTTAGTCTGTACAATTTCACTAAAGTTATTGTTTTAATTACCTACCTGGTTTTGACCTATCTTTTTTAATTACCTACCTGGTTTCGACCTATCTTTTTTAATTACCTACCTGGTTTCGACCTATCTTTTTTAATTACCTACCTGGTTCTGATTTTAATTACTTTACCTCGTTCTGACCTTATTTTTTAATCTATCTACCTGGTTCTGATCCTAATTAGTCTACCTCGTTCTGACCTTATTCTTTAATTAGTCTACCTGCTTCTGATTTTAATTAGTCTACCTGGATCTGACCTTACAAACTGCTGAAATTAAAACGTAATAATTCCAAATCCTGATATCAACATTCTCAGAAGTAGCATTGTAAATTTGTGGTTGCATCAAATAAAACCGTAATAATTTATATATCAAGGCCTTTATGGCCGTTTGTTTCCTGATATTAATTCACTACCCAGTCTCCACTCATCATCCTTCCACCTGTATGTCTACCTTTGATGAGACAATGACAGTTGGAGAGACTAAATGCTCCTATATAGGGCTGTATATATAGCTGTAACAATTCTGCATGTCGTCAATCTACGCACTCTGTGCCACGCGTATCACGTTGATGTTCTAAAACACAAAATTATAGAAACAAGAGGCCCATGGGCCTAAACGGTCACCTGAGTCCTACAGTATTTATTTATGTTGTTGAAATATGTACCAATTTGAGTACAAAATAGTTAAGTATAACGTTAACTTAAGTTTGTCATGACCATGAGTCGATCATTCCTACAAAGTTTCAGTTCAATCGGCCCAGCAAAACTTGACTTTAAGTTTGAAATAGTTTTTCAAAATGGCGGCCGTGGGGGCCATATTGGATTTCTGATCGACCCGAAAAATAACAACACTTTGTCAGGACCATGAGTCGATCATTACTACAAAGTTTCAGTTGAATCAGCCCAGCAAAACTTGACCTTATGTTTGAAATAGTTTTTCAAAATGGCGGCCATGTCGGCCATATTGGATTTCTGATCGACCCAGAAAATATCAACACTTTGTCAGGACCATGAGTCGATCATTTCTACAAAGTTTCAGTTCAATCCGCCCAGTAGAACTTGACTTTAAGTTTGAAGTAGTTTTTCAAAATGGCGGCCGTGTCAGCCATATTGGATTTCTGATTTACCCGAAAAATAGCAACACTTTGTCAGGACCATGAGTCGATCATTCCTACAAAGTTTCAGTTCAATTGGCCCAGCAGAACTTGACTTTAAGTTTGAAATAGTTTTTCAAAATGGCGGCCGTGGGGGCCATATTGGATTTCTGATCGACCCGAAAAATAACAGCACTTGGTCAGGGAGATGTCAGTAACCTTCCCATGAAATATTAATGAAATCCCTTTGCCAGTATTTCAGCTTAAATTGAAAATGTAAAATGTTAGCGGACGACGGACGATGGACGACGGACGAAGACGGATAGCAATAGGTCACTTGAGCTAAAAGCTCAGGTGACCTAAAAAGGCACATCGAGACATCATAAAACTAACCAACTTATCCAAAACCACACACAATGAACTGCCATTTATTTAAATGAAATTTGATGGACATTTACCATCAATAGCATTTAATCCTAAAAGTCTAACATAATCGTATACATCATATGTCCATGTTACATATATGTTCGTGTTGTCTACCCAGCAGCAACAACCTTTATTAGGTCTCCGATTCTACTTACTGCCGTCTTACTAAAGACAAAGACAGACTGCCTTAAATGTTTTTGAAATTTTGTCTTATTTCAAAAAGAAAAGTATGATAGATAATTCTGGAATCATGAAATATCTCTCCTGTATGACTAACTGAATAGGTAAAAAGTGAATGAGTAATCTAAATGTGTTTTTGTATCATCTTAGTCTCGTAGACAAAACTGACACTGTCTCCGATAGGATATTGAGAAAAATGTATCACTTTAGCCTTTGTTTTTGTGTAAGTTTGATCTGTTACCGGAGCGGGAGTACAGACATTCAATCTTCAAATCTAAGTGGTCACCACAACCTTTTACATTAAACTATTCTGTTTGAATAGCTAAGAAAAGGTTGTCTCAACTTTTTAAAGATTTTACAGAGCAGATTTTCTTATATTTCGATTGAATTTTAAATAGTTATGTTATGAATTAAACATTGGACAATGACACAAGAAAAAGTACTTCCCAGACAATTTAATTTACAGGATATGACGTTTATTATTTTACATCCTGGAATGGATTATGACTTTAAATATTTATCAGGTATTTAGAACGGATTTTTTTTTTGATAACAACGGCAAATATCTGAAGGTATTTCTACATGTCTGTTTAGTTATCATAAAGGATGGTGATATTAAAGTGTTGATACAATTTCTCTGTAAGATTCTGTCAAGTGTTAAACGACAGAACACATGTTGTCTCCATCATTGGGAATCCTATATTCTTTCCAGGGTTATCCAGACTTGATGGTCAACCAGTACAAGCCATGTCTTACAATTATTGGCTGGACAAAAAGGGACACAACCTCACATGGACATAACAAATTCTGGGTCAAGATTTCCTTATAATATCAAAGGGTAAAGAGAATCTCTGACTTAGATATTTCAGTCCTCATACGACTTTAGATGTCGTGAGGAGGTTGAACACTGAACAAAATGCGAATAAAATCCCATACATTTATCATATTCTGGGAAAAAAAAGATCAAATTCGGAGTAATATCAATCATAAAAACATTATACAGTACCAAATTGTAAAAACAGAGAACTCCAACTGATGAATGTATTTCTAATCAAATATCAAAAATTATAAAAAGAAAGGATATTCTGTCGCTGTATGCATTGTCCACAACTGCACAGGCATAGAAATGGATCGTTCATTAGCAAAAGTGTCTCCTAATGGAAGGAGCCATGGGTGGAAAATGTGGGTCACAATGGAAATGAGAAACATTCTGATGGGTTAACGCAGTCGAAAAACATGTAATTAATTAACACCTAAGATTTATATTATCAATAATGAGAAGATCTATAGTGGAAACACACCAGCCATTACATTATTGTTTATTCTACACAGTAATATAAACATTTGAATAATTCGGCGATCGGGAAAATTAAAACAATAAAACAGCTCCCTGACAACCCTACATTATAACGTGAAACTCAATGTGAGCTCCATTTACAAGTTCCCGGTGTTAATGAAAGTCCACGCGAAGTATTAATTTATCTTTAGCTAATGGAAGTTATGAGAGTATAATCATATCCTGTCCCCTCGGAATCCGAGGCACAACTTGATTCATTGACATGCTGCGAGCATTGCTAATATGGCAAACATCTTCATTCTAGATCACAAGTACAGCCACAAGCTTAGGGATTCAGAGAATCAACACCGGTGACATCATCAAAATCGCAGAAACTTTATCTGACTTTGAATTCGGGCCATAATCCTAAAACGGGGATTTCTGGTTCTGAGGGAAATAAAACTGCTAGGAAAATGTTATAAAAATCTTTAATCTAGGCAATGTCTAAGACTAAGAGTACATGAAATTCCTTTTTGTCTATGGCGTGACATGAGGTTTG